TGATCTACTGAAAATATTTGATTATGGATAAATATATTATTGCAAATATATAATACAAATACATTCTCTTATTAATCATATTTTAGATCAAATGTTCTCTGGCCACTCCACTTTTGTTTCGTGCGTGTGCATGTTAATGTGTGTGTGTGTGTGTGTGTGTGTGTGTGTGTGTGTGTGTGTGTGTGTGTGTGTGTGTGTGTGTGTGTGTGCGTGTGTGTGTGTGTGTGTGTGTGTGTGTGTGTGTGTGTGTGTGTGTATGAAGCATGCATTGAACAAATTCGCTTTTTCTTCAACGTTTGACTTACTCTGCAACCTACGCTTTTTGTTTGGTTCTTCTCTAAAGATGAAACCCGTCTTCCTGTTGAGCCTGAAGCTCCTTACGGGGGAACTGTTGCCGCTAAAAGAGGCACAACTGAAACTGTAGTGAGTCCCAGTTGACATTTATTGATATACTGCAGAGCGTTGCATAATAACTGCAGGGGCTTCCATAAATTCCTCAAGCCTTTACTGAAATAAAATCACTTCTGCAGAAGCTCGCGACTGCATTTGGTCTGAACATGTCATGCAGTTTGACTTGAGAGATTTTCTTTTCAAACTTAAGCGCTTGCCTCATCTGTGGTTTTTGTCATGTATGTTTTTGCACCCTGCAATTGTGACTTGCAGAGAATTTCCCTTCCCAAAACCAAATGACAGAGTGATGCCTGTTTTGAAATTCAGGCGGAAACCAGACTCTCATCAAAGTTGGCCATCTTGATCTAGTTTTGTTCCCAACAGTAGACTTGCGTGGAGGTGTGATGTGATCATGATGAAACACTGTCGATCTTGTAAAGATTTTGATTTTGGGCAAAAGTATCTTGTAAAATGGATATCGTACAAATTTTCGATAAAACATTCAAGAAATATAATTTTCGTACTGCTTGAAAATCAGTGAAATTGTAAAAAAAAAAATTTGAACTCTTCATTTTACAATATTGTGACATAACCTCACACTGCAAGGTTGTGTTTGTGACTCTCGGTTGTATTCGAAAAATCATGAGGTTTTTCGAATGGAACCGGAGTCACCGTTGTGATGTGCAAATGAGAGCAGCTTTGATATAAAATAGGAAGCTGAAGAGGATACAGAGTCCATGTGAGGGAGTCCAATAGCAGTCGTGCTGAGCGACTGACGCACAATATGAATATAAAGCGATGAAACGGGGAAACAACTCAACAGCAGCAAGGGTTCATGATGATTGTCCTTTTCACGGTGGTTGTTGTCTTGTGCTGCTAAATGCCATTATCATCATCACAATCAATGAATACAAGACTATGCAAGTACAAGAAGCCCCCATCAGAAATAACGTTTAGAGCAGAGGTGTCAAACTCTTTTTTTGTCGCGGGCCACATTGTAGTTACGGTTTCCCTTGGAGGGCCGTTATGAATTTTGGGAAACCATATAAATGCTTAATCCCCTCCACATATTACATACAGAGCGCGCAACAAATTGATGAATAACTAGTTTTCAAATCAGAAGTCAAGAATAATGACTGTTATTGTGGATTACATATGACAATTTGAAATATTGGTTCAGACTTTAGCAAGCATCATGGAACTTGACATGCTTGATTTGCTATCGCGGGCCACACAAAATGATGTGGCGGGCCAGATCTGACCCCCAGGCCTTGACTTTGACACCTGTGGTTTAGAGGAATAACTGCATTCTTAATTATCACATAGGTGTAAAGAAAAGTTAACCACTGGATAGTAAAAATAAAAAAATAAAACTAACTAATTTAAATTAAGCAAACTACTCACATTTTATGATCTCTTGGGGGCATTCAACTGTTTTTTTTTTAATAATAAATCAATCTAAATTGCAAAAAAAAACAATTTTGAATATGCCGTGTTCAACTGCATTTGGCCTCAGCAGTCATTTGCACTTCATTAGCCTCAGTGTGTTTACCAGCTATGGTTGCATTAAAAAGAGTAATCAATTTCACAACTCAATCCGATAAAAATCACTCAACTGATACAATTCAAGCCATCCATTAGTAGAATTATTTACGGAGCTAGTAATCATCATGAGATAAGTTATTCATCCCTTGCATGGTTCGGTTGAAGACAATTAATTGATAACCTTTAAAATCCAAACAGGGTTTTTCTTTCAACATCAATATCAAGAAGAGAACTTCAGCTGGTCCTGAGATGAGCCCAAGTAACTTCAATCAAACTTTAGACTGAAGGCTCTATTCTCGTAACGGCCGCAAATCCTGCATGGTGTATTGCATAACCCTGCGAGAAAGTGGGTTAGACCCAATGTTGGTAATTTCAAAGCCAAGAGCAGATCGGCGGTTCTTCAAGAAGGAAGGCTGTGTTGCTGTGAGAGTGGTCACAGTCGACTTCAATCATGGCAAATCAAAACGTCTCCTTTTATTCCATTTAAATGCGGCGTATATCTGCACCATGATGTGGGCACTTGGAGAAGCCTGCTGTGCCGTCCAATGGGATGATTTAATGTTTCACAAAATGAGAATGAATCAGGGGGTTTAGTGGTCACTCTTCAGATATTTATCAATGAAATCCATCACTTTAGACCAGATGTCTATCCTGTGCCGGTCTTGGACGTGGTTGGGTTGGCATAAGGTTTATATCGACTTTCTGCCACCATATTGTCGGTCTTTGAGGCGCATCTCCAAGACAGTCCTTCAGCGTGGTTTTGACTGGTCGGCCAAATTGGAAAACTCACAGTGAGCCTTGCGCTGATATGAATTCAGGATTCGCCAGCATTGATGCTCTGCAGCAGATGCACAGTATATGAAAACAGAGCCCAAAGTCAAAATCGACAGTGGTGTTGTTCTTGCAGATTGCCTCGACAAATTTGAGTGTTATAACGTTTGCTGACGCCATCTTATCTCAGACATCACATAAAACAATTGGTTTGTTATATTTTGACATCGAATACAGCTTCAGCAGGGTACACACATACTGACAATGGGGCTTAATTAATGCTCATTAAATTGAATGAGGCGGCCCGGTGGCCCAGTGGTTAGCGAGTCGACCTCACAGTGCAGAGGTACCGGGTTCAATTCCAGCTCCGGCCTCCCTGTGTGGAGTTTGAATGTTCTCCCCGGGCCTGCGTCGGTTTTCACCAGGTACTCCGGTTTCCTCCCACATTCCAAAAACATGTATAGCAGGCTGATTGAACACTCAAAATTGTCCCTCGGTGTGAGTGTGAGCGCGGATGAATGTTCGTCTCTGTGTGCCCTGTGAGTGGCTGGCGACCGGTTTAGGGTGTCCCCCGCTTGCTGTCTTCGGGTATAGCAGCTGGGATAGGCTCCAGCACCCCCCGTGACCCATGTGAGGATAAGCGGATCGGAAAATGAATGAATGAATGAATAAATTGAATGGCGTCGGCTGTGCTAATGCCATGTTAACCTTTCCTGAAATCGGTCACCTCACAGTGGTATGGAGACTCGGAAAAATGTTTCTCCAGTTTCAGGAAATCTTTGGTCATGATCTCGATACTTCCGCAAATCACACAGCAGTACACCTTAGCACTACACATGCACACTCACTCACATACTTCTGCATTGCATGCATATTAGGCACCTGATTGGCTACGCTGCTCACGCAATCACAAGACCACACAAGAATTACAGCGATGATTGGCCAGCTGCCGCACATGACCTAAATACTGTGGAAGTTAGACACGGCAGCATTGATAAACAGTCAAGAACAAGGTTTACAACTCTGACGGAACAGCTAAGTTGGAACCGGTTCTCGATTCCTTCACCTACCCATGACCCTAACAAGGACAAAGCACTTTCAAAAATGGATGGATGGATAGAGAATCACACCTGCTAAAACAATAAAAAAAACGTTCTAATTTAATGTCATTTTATTTCAAGGGGATCCCTCAGGGATATGTCCTAAATCCGTTGCAGGGGTTATCTCAACCACCTGTTTTGAAAATCATTTTTAATAATCCCTCACAGTCTTCTGAATGCAAAATCCCTTCTTTGATATGAATGAGCAAGGTGGTCCAAATATGCATGTCTGTCATATTGGCGTGCAGCTGGACCCTTTCACACATACGACAGACATCGACAGCGTGTGCGCACAGCTGCACGATTAGCATGTTGCGCGTCTCAATTTATGTGAAAGAACCCCCCCATGATATTTACTGCCACTCGAGCCGTTTAATCGCCGCGTGACTCGTCTGGGTTCTGATGAGGTCCGGTGCAGTTTCTCTTTGAGGCCGACTCTTTCAATGCCTCCTGTTTAAAAAGGTCAGCGGACGTTAAGGATGCGCGGGCGGGGCTGGCACAGTGTGGGGGGAAAAAATGATTTATTTTGGAAATGTACAGTGTATGGAAATATTGTGTTGCTAGCGAAGTTGACAAAATCGCTTCAGCAGGATGCACGCATACTGACTTTAACAACATAACACATTTTTTAAACGAGAGAGACAACACAGCTCTGCTCTTCTGTTGTGGGGTATACTCGAGATCACCAACATAGCACCACACACACCCACACACACACACGCACACACACACACACACACACACACACAGTGTCCTTCCCCAAACCAGATATCGTTCGTAGTACCAAGTCTGAGCAAATAGAGGCATTTAGTCTACTGGAAAATACAAAAAAGGGAAGTAGTCGAAGCAAATTAGATCATCACAGTATATTTGCTCTGGATGATCTTTTGCAGACATCCAATAATCTGCCCTTTGCTGACTTTGAGCCTAAGTGAGGGAAAATGCTCAAATTTGCCCCGATTGTCAGTATGCATGTGTCCCGTTTTAGCTCCCTTCATCTGCTCGTGTTGTAGTTTGGATGGACACTTGGACAGAATTTCAGTGCTTGTTTAGAGGATAGACTCGCACACAGGATAGACAAGAAAAGATCGCAGGAACATACTCAGACACACCGAAAAAAAATACTCCCATAACAACATAAGTATTCTGAGTTTATTCATACACAAAAAAGAAAAAAAAATCTCCACTGCATTGGCAATGATGCTACACTATTAGCTGAAGCAGCTATTGCCATCCCAACAACTGACTTTCTTTGTCCGTTTTCTTGTTTCTGATCAAAAGAAAAAAAAACTAAAAAGAAAATACATGCTTTTTATTGGACAAGAACAATATGCAAAGGACGAAAGAACTTCATATACAGTGAAGTGCAGGAGCGATCTGGCAGCCCCTTTGTGAGAACTTTGGCGTCTTAATCTTCCTAATTAAGACAGCAGTGAATTGAAAATCAGATGTCAGACTGCTACCTAGATGAATGTTTAGTTGTATCCCGCTGCTTTGCACTAGACTGGATAGTGTCTTATTTGCGCAGTCATTTATTTCATAACACAGGTCACAGTTTTGATTGGATTACATTCAAATTTAGTGTTCTAAAGACTTCGATTCTCAACATGGGCCAAAAATCATATCACTCTCTGCAATGTTATTCAAAACACAGTTAATAGTTCCATCTCGAATTATATTATTGGAGCCTGATTTTTTTTTGAGCAACTTTTATGTCACATATGCACACACAGGATCAAGAACATTGTTTTTAATATGTAATGATGTCACTTCATTGGTCCAAAAATGATACGAATGATGTAGCTTTGTTCATATGCCGGTGATGTATAGTGACAGGCAGAACAATTAAATGCTCTTCCACTATGACCATACATCATCTCAATTTTAGTTATTCAACAGGGGATTGCAACAGAGCCCTGCTGCCAAAGGTGAAAATCCACAAGTGCTGTAATTGACAGCATCCCTAAAAAGGCCACAAGATAGCAGCAGCAAAGGAGTACATTTGTCTAAATGAAGCTAATTACCTAACTTTAACAGTTACTTGGCACCAGTTGGAAACAAAAAACAGCAGATAGGTGAGCTTCTCAACATTTAATGGAGGATGCGGTCCAAAAATAAATTTGCAGATAGGCGGGGGTTCGCTGTTGTCTATATAGGCTATATATACTTCTTGTAACTTTGCTGGGTGGTAAATATGTGTGTAGCGCAGTAAAGGTTGTGAAACTCATGGTCGATAACCATTGTTCTACATTTGTATGGATTTTTGTAGGGGTGCATTGGAATCTCTGAATCGTATCTGGTGATACGGGTAATTAATATTCCAAGGGTGTAGTTGAATAAAGGGGCATCATTTATTTCCATTTAAAAAGTACTGTGGCTACTGTTCTCGACAGAAGACATATTCGGTGTAACTTGTCCAGATTTTGTCCTCGCCGGGGTCATTGCTGGTGTAGGCGCAGGTGCCCGTGGAGCTGCATGCCACCATGTGGAAGCCCACCTCGGTGAGCTTGTCAAAAGCCTGCTCCAGGAAATTATACTTGAGGTAGTAGCGCGACGTGTACCTCTCCGGCGGACGGTCCGGGTCTCTGCTCTCGTTGAGCGTGTCTCCGAACACCTCTTTGGCCAGGGATGTCTTCCCGCACACAGTGATGCGCGCCACCCTGCGGAATTTGGCGTCGGTCTGGATGTCCCGGCCGATGGTGTATGATCCCCGGTAGCCAACAGTGATGTAGCCCGACTTCCTGGAGTCCATAGACGGGGAGCGCACGGCCGTGCTGGTGCGTAACGTTGCATCCGCGCCCCCGGCCGATGCGCACGGCGGCTGGCTGCCTTGGAGCGAGCTGTCCTCGGTATCGCTGTGGCTAATCTCCTCGCTGACGGAGTTGTCCTTGCTCATTTGCGGACAGAGCCTCTTGGCCAGCTCTCGAAGCTGAAAGAAGTCCGCCTCCCTCCTCAGTCGGCTCCTCTCCGGGAAGTAGTCCGGGAGCACCAAGGTCAGGTCGCGCAGATAGTCGAGGACGTAGCGGAACAAGAAGCCGTCTCGGTCGAGGAAGAAGCGGCCCTTGGTGTCTCTGGCCAGTTCCTTGGGGGTCCGGCGGGTGAACATGTGCCAAAGGAGAGAATCCGGCACCGCGACGAGAGTTTGCAGCCGGGTGACGTACACCTGTCCCCCGACGTTCAGCTCGACGATTTCCGGAAAGTGGGAGTCGTCGCGTTGCTTGGACGCTTCTGCGAGAGCCATCGTGTAAGTGTGCGTGTGGGCTTCTTCCGTGGACTGACTGACTGAGCCTCAAGAGGCTGCACACGGCTTATGAAGCGTGGACCGTGGCATGGACCCGCGGGAGGAAAGGGGGGAGTGTTGTGTGGTTAACCATTAAATTACACTACTAGGCTTTAATGACCTGTATATTGATACTGGGGACAAAATGAGAGAAAAAAAAACAAAGATGTCAAAGTAAAATGATAATGTGGAGTTATAACGAGCACACTTAAGTGTGACACTTGGTGTTGTAAATGTGGTAAGACTGACACCCATCGCTGCGATGTTGAAAGTGCAGGCAGCACAGAATGAACTAGACGGTCACTTTATTAGGTACACACCTGTTCTGTCCTAAGTGCAAGACAACGCTGGAATTGGCTCTATCAATTCCAGCAACATTTGCATTTTCAACGCCAAGATTTTTACAGTCAAAATGGTGATGTAGGACTTTTTAACCGAAATTCATTAAAATTTTTGCCAATCGGATTATTCATGATGGGTCTTATTTGAAAGCTGGGAAAATGTAAAATGTGAAACAGGTGAAACATTTAATGCCATTTTAATTTTGTGACAGTCGGAGAACTTTCAAATCAAGTGTTTTTTAAAGTGGAGATGAGTGTCTTAACTCTTGCAAAATTGTGGGCAACATTGCCACTTATAGGCGAGAAAGCACAATTGCAGTGTTTTCAGATGAAGTTGATTTTGGTGAACTCTACAAAAACAAAATGCCGTTGAGTTTCTCACCTGTTTCACACTCTACCGGTACATTTTTACCAGCTTTCAAATGAGGCTAATACTGCAAAGTTGCTTGGCAAAAACGTATGCACCAAATCTAACTTTGAAACCTTTATCTCATCTCACTGCAACACGCTTTAGAGATGGTGGGAGTTGTGTGCTGATTCTCATTTAACATGAGTTTTACTTTGACTGCTTACTTTTGCCCACACATTATCTGAGTTGTTTTTGTTTCTCTTTTTGAAGAAAAAAAACGATTTTTCTCAATGAAGTTGTGCAAGTTATAGGTCATAATTATGGTTGATTTTTCTCCAAATTATTTATTGTTGTCTCTTTTTTCATATCACAAAAACCTGGCATTAAAACAGGGGTGTTGACTTTTCAATTATAAATGAATCTGTTATGCTAAATTGTTGTGTCATTGGAGCAACAGAACTTTCCCTGTTTCCTGAATTCTAATGCTGATGAAACTTTATGGCAAACATAGTCCAACCAAATAGACAACAGACAAAATATTTTGAGATATTTAATGGGTAGAAAAAAAAGCAGACCCGATAATGAATCGATGTTGACACTCATACTTTGCTACTTAATAAATAGCCAAATGTGTCTAGTATTCATCTCCTTCCTCGTCATCGTCATAGGAGTCAATTCCGACCTCTTCATAATCCTTCTCCAGGGCAGCCATATCCTCTCGGGCCTCTGAGAACTCTCCTTCCTCCATTCCTTCTCCCACATACCAATGCACAAAGGCCCTCTTGGCATACATGAGATCAAACTTGTGGTCCAGGCGGGCCCAGGCCTCAGCAATGGCTGTGGTGTTGCTCAGCATGCACACAGCCCTCTGCACCTTGGCAAGATCTCCCCCAGGAACCACTGTTGGAGGTTGGTAATTGATGCCCACTTTGAAGCCAGTGGGACACCAATCCACAAACTGGATGGTGCGTTTGGTCTTGATGGCAGCGATGGCAACATTAACATCTTTGGGCACTACTTCACCGCGATACAGCAGACAGCAAGCCATGTATTTACCATGACGTGGATCACACTTGACCATCTGGTTGGCCGGCTCAAAGCAAGCATTGGTGATTTCGGCCACAGAAAGCTGCTCGTGATAAGCCTTCTCAGCAGAAATGACAGGAGCATATGTGGCCAGAGGGAAGTGGATACGAGGGTAGGGCACCAAGTTGGTTTGGAACTCCGTCAGGTCAACATTCAGGGCGCCGTCAAAGCGAAGAGAGGCTGTGATCGATGACACAATCTGACTGATAAGGCGGTTGAGGTTGGTGTAAGACGGACGTTCAATGTCGAGGTTCCTGCGACAGATGTCATAGATGGCTTCATTGTCCACCATGAAGGCACAGTCGGAGTGCTCCAGGGTGGTGTGAGTGGTCAGAATGGAATTGTAGGGCTCCACCACTGCAGTAGAGACTTGAGGGGCTGGGTAGATTGCGAACTCAAGTTTGGATTTCTTCCCGTAATCAACAGAAAGTCGCTCCATGAGGAGGGAGGTGAAACCAGAGCCTGTGCCTCCACCAAAAGAGTGGAAGACCAAAAAGCCTTGAAGACCAGTGCACTGGTCAGACTGTAGATACAGACACAAAATTTGAATAGTTTTAATTCCAGGAAGCTTTCAAGCTATGCTCCAGAAGCCTAAAATAGCATTTTTTCCCGAACGATAATACTCTTCGATATTGCTGTGGTTAAATAGATATGAAAAAAATGATCCTCACCAATTTGCGGATTCTGTCGAGAACAGAGTCAATTATCTCTCTGCCGATGGTGTAGTGTCCACGGGCATAGTTGTTTGCCGCATCTTCTTTTCCTGAGATCAGCTGCTCGGGGTGAAAGAGTTGGCGATATTTTCCCGTACGCACTTCATCTTGAAATGTGAAAGACAAAAAAAACAATTGAAAAGAGTATTTTTTTTTTTTTTTCGAAAAGGTTAGTACAGGTAGGATTTTGTTTTGGATTCATTCTCGACAACACACTTCAAGTGATTGCACAAAAACCAATGGTTTGTTTAATTGTATTAATTGAATGGCAAAATCCTTCATTTCATAATGCATCTTTTCATACTGACCAACCACCGTGGGTTCCAGGTCAACGAAGACTGCCCTTGGGACATATTTTCCAGCCCCGGTCTCGCTGAAGAAGGTGGTGAAGGAGTCATCATGGCCCCCGATGGACTTTTCGCCGGGCATCTGTCCATCTGGCTGAATGTCGTGTTCGTAACAGTAGAGCTCCCAACAGGTGTTCCCCATCTGGACACCAGCCTGGCCTATGTGGACAGAGATGCATTCACGCTTGAAGAGAGAAAAAAAAAGAAGCAGAAAGAGAACATGAGGATAAAGTTTGTTGGATGGTAACTATGAAGCAGACTCGGCAAGATATATCAAAGCACTGATTTGGTTCCACATTATTTCAAGCTTGATATTCCCGAACGTTTTCAGATTGTTGTCAGCAATGACGCCAAGGTTTAAGACCCTCATTTCAACCACAATTATCGTGCTCAGCTAATTATGTAGACTGATCTTTGAACCCTATCCAAAAAAAAAAAAAAATTCTTATTATGGCATTTACAGTCAACAAAACAGGGACGAGCTCGTTTGTGTTTGTCCTATTGGATCAAAATTGACTGTCGATGGACCCGTTTGGTGACATAATCGTCAGCACACCCTCAGATAAAACTTCCTCGTGCTAAATAGTCATTATCCTGTTGGACTAGATTAGCAGGAGAAACACCTTATCCCTTTTTCCCCTTACAATGTGGCTCATGCAAATGTGACTGTTAAAACATTTAACCCTTACGACACTTGTGCTTTGACACCACTGATCTGAAAAAACAGATGATTTTTAGACTAATGTGTAGAACTTTTTATTGTGGCACCCGGGTAAAATTAAGGTACATGTCTGGAAAAATTCTGGAAACTTTTTATGGGAAGGTGAGATGAGAAATCTTAGAAATGAATTGGAAATTAGATTTGGAATTAAGTGTGATAAATTCTGGGGTATTTTAAAGCACTGGTTTATCCAGTTAATACAACATTCCACGAGAGATGTTGAATACAATTCTGTATATTCCTTTTGCTCCCTCACTGAACCTTTAAAGTACAGGTGTCAAAGACAAGGCCCAGGGGGGCAGATCTGGCCCGCCACATCATTTTATGTGGCCCGCGAATGCAAATCTAGCATGTCAAGTTCCATGATGCTTGCTAAAGTCTGAACCAAAATTTCAAATTGTCATATGTAATCCGCAATCACAGTCATTATTTTTGACTTCAGATTTTAAAACTAGTTATTCATCATTTTGTTGTCTGCTGTGTATGTGATATAAGGGGAGGTGATTAAACATTTATGTGCTTTCCCAAAATTCATACCGGCCCTCGAAGGCAAACCGTAACTACAATGTGGCCTGCGACAAAAATGAGTTTGACACCCCTGCTTCAAAGGAACAAAGGGATGCAAATCGAGCAGAATATGAAAGGTAAGATATACAAAAAGATTCAATTTGATTATTCAAACCAGGGTATATTGCCAACAACTTGACATTTACTAAATTTCGCATAGATTCCAGTAAAATCAGAGAAAGGTTTCCAATCCTGATGAGATGCAGGCAAAAAAAACCCAACTATAATATTGTATTTCTCTCTCTCTCTCTCTCTCTCTCTCTCTCTCTCTCTCTCTCTCTCTCTCTCTCTCTCTCTCTTTTGTTCACCTTCTCCCCCTTCTCACTGAAACACGGTGACATTTTGCCAGTATGGAAAGGACAGTGCTCAATTGAGAGCTGCAGGGAATCAACTGCTATCATTTCAAAGTGTGTTAGAGCTCATTAAATCCACGTTGAGATCAGTTCACCTCTCCGGTGTCCTCTTTAGTGAGCCTGGCTAATGTGACATCATCTCAATTTCCAGGTATGCAGGTCAGCGCATAGCAGCTATTTTCGGGTGCTCATTTTGAGAGATGACACCCAGTAGCAATGTGGGAGCGAATGTTTGCGTAAACACTGACCGGCAGCCACTGAAATAGTTCCTGTCAGTTCAAGTAGATATCTACAGTTACAATCAGAAACACAAGGAAAATGCAAAAAAGGCTATTACATTTAACCGGCATCATTAAGTAATTCAACATCAGCATTTTTCAATTGAGAGTATTTTTTGAATCTTGTTCCTTGCCATGTGAATGCTAAGGTTCTATTTGAGCAGGGTGTGTGTCCTGCTGTTCAATGGTTTTATCAGCATTAATGGCATTGCTTACAAGCTGTGTTTGTACTTCACTGTGCAAACACGTCTACATGCAGTGTTTTTCCACGTGAATAAGGTTGACTGTGTTATAACCTCGCCGTGAACTACAATCTTGAAAAAAAAAAAGCATCATTTTGTTCCAAATTGTTTTGCTGAAGGCAAAATCAAGGCCAAATTTGGTCGGAAATGAATCGTTTCAAAAAGTCCTCTTCGAAGTTGAAATACTGGACTGTACTTGCTTTGTCTCAATCTGATCTGACTTGTTGCTGCCTGCATGTTTTACGACACACCTACATTTCTGTCTGTCATGTACTTTGTCAGACATCAAGGCACCGAAACCAAAGATGGTGTTATGAGCCTCAGCAATGACAGCTCTAAAATGCAATCAAGAAATACAAATTAACAGAAAACAGCGCCACTATATTCCAAATCGATATTTGTCACCAACTCACTATCTTTGTGTATCAAAACTGCCTAAAAATTGGCCCATGTGAAATGAAACTTCCACTTGCTCTCTCCCCTGTGCCGTCCCAAACAGGACAGCTTGTGTCAGAAATAGATCATTGTCCCAGTGATAGGCAGAAAAGCTGAGCTGAATTTGGCCGCTGACCTGAATGAGCAGGTGATGATAGTCTAAACGTCTACCCCATGAAAAATAACCAGCAGGTATGACAAAAAACTTTGTGGAAGAAGAAAACATACTTACCATGACGCCTGCTAAATGGAAGGTCCTCTTCACAATCTGGGTTTAATTTCTACGGTGCCTCTCACAGCAGTCCTCAATGTGGTCTGAGTGAGTTTAACTGCCAGATGCATCGGAGACTCCAAGCTATATTCAACTTCGAAACCACTCCCACCTGTCTCCTTGACAGGAACTGTGCCGCCAATATTATTTCCTCACACAGTCAACTGATCTTGCAGCAGAAGTGGAAACTTTCACGACTGACAAACACAGACCTCCAACACTTATGAAGTGTTTGACTTTGCACACAATGGAATTTGCTGAAATTCACTTGCTTTTGAGTGCATTATGATTAATGGTCGACAGGTGGGATACTAGCTCAGTCTTTCGTTAAAAATACGTTCAGTGTGTTGTTTTCATCTGTTGGCAAAAAAAAAAAAAAAACCCAAGATAAATGTTGATATTGTCGGTCAAAATTAACAGAAATTACTCGTGCCGGGAGACAAAATATTTGCCATGGTCTATGTCTTCGAGGGTTTGAAAAAAAAAATGCCAGAGTAACAAGTTCAACCGGTTAATTGGCTCATTTCAGTGTGTGTACGAACCAACAAAGAAATTCCCAACCGTACAAAAGGAAGTGAAAATATATTTGAATGTTGTTGCTGTGCTTTTTGTAATTTTAGTCATAGTTTCTGACTTTTTAGAGTTCCATCCATCCATCTATTTTCCGATCCACTTTATCCTCACAAGGGTCGCGGGGGGTGCCGGAGCCGTTCCCAGCCGTCTTTGAGCAGTAGGCAGGGGACACCTTGAACCGGTTGCCAGCCAATCGCAGGGCACACAGAGACGAACATCCATCCACGCTCACACTCACACCGAGGGACAATTTAGAGTGTTTCATAAACCTGACATGCATGTTTTTGGAATGTGGGAGGAGACCGGAGTACCACGAGAAATCCCACGCAGGCCCGGGGAGAACATGCAAACTCGGCCACTCACATTTTAGAGTTTACGACTTAAATCCATTCTATGAATGATGACAGGATTGTGCTCTGGGCTTTGATGAATGTTTTTTTTTTTTTTTTTTTAAATTACATATAAATATAACAAGTTTCATTATGCTTAACTCTTTGTATGTCACTTACGGACCTAGGTTTAACCCCAGAAAAAAATTGCAGTAAATAACAATCTTCTTCTTCAAAAATTAGCTTACAATGTCATAAGGATAAACCAGGTATAATATACTGCTAAAAAAAATAAAGGGAACTTCGAATTTGGAAACAGTCTTTGCCAGAGAAAATGTTTTATTTATATATACACACACACACACACACACACACACACACACACACAGTACATAAAATTTTGTACATAAAAGACTGTATATTTTTTTTTTTGCATAGAAAATAGCAGAAACACGGTGGGATGCTGGAAAACTGGTTAGCGCATCTGCCTCACAGCGCAGATGTTATGGGTTCAAATCCGGGCTCTGTCCTTCTTGTGTGAAGTATGCGTATTCTTGCTTAGGTTTTCTCCAGGTACTCTGGTTTCCTCCCATGTTCCAAAAACATGCATGGTAGGTTTACTGAACATGCCGAGAAAAAAATTCATAGGTGTGATTATGAGTGTGAATGGTTGTGTGTCGATGTGCAATTGGTTGGCAACCAGTTCAGGGTGTACCTCGCCTACTACCTAAAGACAGCTGGGATATGCTCGAGCACACGTTTCAGATAATGATTGGCTGGATGACAAACAGAAACACATTTTCACCATTGTAAAACCATATATGGCAATATTTATTGCTGTATATGATTTATGCTATATTAATTTCCTTAACAATGGATGAATAAGTCAGCCACTGCTAAAACGTAATGTGGATTAGTTTGTGTCACGGATGTGCCCCACATGACACAGAATGATAGATAGATAGATAGATAGATAGATAGATAGATAGATAGATAGATAGATAGATAGATAGATAGATAGATAGATAGATAGATAGATAGATATTTAACTCGATAGATAGATAATATTAACTCCTGCTCTGGCCTTCCTGGGTGGAGTTTGCATGTTCTCCCCGTGCCTGCGTGGGTTTTCTGTAGGTACTCCGGTTTCCTCCCACATTCCAAAAATATGTGCGGCAGGTTAATGGAACATTCTAAATTGCCCCAAGGTGTGAGAGTGAGTGCAGATGTTCGTTTGTCTATGTATGCCCTGTGATTGGTTGACAACAAGTTCAGGGTGTACCCCAAGGACAGCCAAGACTCCAGCACGCCCCGCAACCCTTGTGAGGATAAGCCAATGAACCCGCGATAGGCGACATCTGTGAAGTAGTCAGTGTAACTGCTCCTAAAGGTTTTCTTCCTAATTTAAAAAGACTTGACAATGTTCGACAGCTTTTATGGTCCACACGTCCATCGCTGATGAACACCATTTTGGGGTGAAAAACTTCTTCTTCTTCTCCTTTCGGCACGTCCCTTTTCAGGGGTCGCCACAGCGAGTCATTAATTCCCATCCGTCCCTGCAAACCGCCCTATCAACTCGCATGTCCGTCTTGGCAAAAGTTACGCCGGATGCCCTTCCTGACGCAACCCTCCCCATTTCTCCGGGCTTGGAACCGGCACCGGGGAACAGTGCACCCCCAGGGGAGGGCACTGCTCCCCAGCGGCTGGGTTTTGGGGTGAAAAACTATGACAAAAATATACAATTACACTAAGTACATACCTACATGCATTTCAACAACTAAAAACATGCATTAGGCATGGCCATTCACGATCATCACGCTTTCGTCTCTTTCCTCAAACTGACATAATTCCGAATCAACATGAACCACTTCCTGCCACTCAATGCAATACTCAAATATAACAGTAGGGGGCAGAATAACCCAAATAAATGTGGAGTAATTGTCATTTTACCATCGTGTAGAATGGTAGATTAATTTAATATTACCATGAATTTAGAATCACGACAGTTACAGTCAGCGCTATTTTTTAATTATACAATACAATACAGTACTTGAGAATGAATCAAAAGATCAAAAAGATATAAACATTTTTTTTTGACCAGGCACGGAGACTGTACAGTCCCTTGGCAGAACACAATGCACTGTAAAAAAAAAAAAAAAAACTGCATTAAAAATCCGTGAAACATCGAAGCCGTGAAAGGTGAACGGAGTATTGCGAGGGTTCACTGCGCTCCATTTTGTGGCACAGCACAACTAAAAAGCTAACAGAAGAGGAGAGTCTTGTAATGTGAGACACGCGCCACAAAAAAAAAAAGGAAATTCTCCTTTAATTTAACTGCCTCCTTTTGAACGGCATTCACATTCATTAATTCGCTTATTTAATGATGCTTTAAACAAACTTGACTTCACTTGATTTTGAGTGTTTGGGCGTTGGCAGTAGAGGACTCAAATAACAGACGTGGGTCATTGCTTTGTGGCAAAAGTGGGGCGTGTACTTCCCAGTATTATTTGGTATTATATACACAATGTTTAAAAAAATCATTATGCCTAGTTTAACTAATTAGCAAATAATGATTTGTTTGTATCCAGTGATGACTAGTGGTGTATAAGACTAAAATATTTCTCACAGAAGCTATCATGAGTAAAAACAAACACACAAAAAAAAACACTTGCACATTGTTGGATGACTTTTCACTGAAAGAGCAATTAGTCTCGTTTGAAATGTTCGTGATGTTAGTTGAATCCTCTGCCTCGGAGTTATGCGCCGTATCAACAGTTTCATTTGTCTCAGTCAGCTGAACAGGCAGTGACGACAGTGGGAGCCAAATGAAACCCAGAAACGCATGATCTTTTTTTTAATGATGCAAAACTGCTCAAATGAAAACCACTGAAATACTGACACCAATGAAGATGATGGAGAATTTAGTAACGATGAGTTTTGGCCACCTCTTGTACATTGTAAATGGACTACGATTCTGCTCAATTTTGTGTTTATGTAACTAAGTCCCACTCAAGCAGTTGCTCTGTATGCCATTCAGTACTATCCATATGATGTGAATCACGTCAAGGCTATTACGTTTCTTTTCTTTCCCAAAGGGAACTGGGAACAATTGGGAGTAAAAAAAAACTAACAAACACATTGTACACTTTGCATTGTTGCTTACAATTCATTCCAACTGGATAGAATATTGTGGGAAAGCGAAAAATTTTGCATGCTAAAAATGCATAATAAATACAAAACAAATGTTAATATTAGGTGATTTATTCATGATTGCCACTACCAGGAAGTTGTTCCATCACAATTTTTTGCTGTGTGTGTAAATAAGATTATGTAAATGCAAAGTTGGAGCTAGGATTTAATGTATGTTCCATGTGAACCTTCTGTAAATTAATGATTCACACATTTCATGTTGTGCTGTGTGACTTCATCTTATCATCTCATCTTACAAGTGCAGAAAGTGTACTGTATAGACCAGGCTTTAAGGTCAAACTTCTGAAACTAGCTGTGTGAAACTGATATATTATCTTCCTCTCACTCCAAAAGTAATAGCTGCAATAACACACTCCAATTCTCATACGTATCCGCAAAACCCACACAAAGCTTTGGGTGGTGACATCCTTCTGCATTGTTTTCTCTATTGATGCATGTATCGTTGTCCCATCAGCAGGTTCTCTGATTACAGCTCAGATCAAATCACTGATCACCTCAAAGTACAGGTATATAAGTCGAGCAACACTCATGAAACAAGACCTGCATCTTCTTACTAACACCTGAATGTTGGAAAAGAGAGATCAACAATGGTGAGAGTGGATTTGCTAAAAACTACATCATGAGATACACTGTTATATGTTTAGCACATGAATCCAAAAAGCATCGATAGGAAATATGTGTGTATTTGAAACAAATTGCTTTCCCTTTTTCACAGCGTGAATGCATCTCCATACATGTGGGCCAAGCTGGGGCTCAGATTGGCAACGCATGTTGGGAGCTGTACTGTCTGGAACATGCTATTCAGCCAGATGGCCAGATGACCTCTGATACAATAATCGGTGGTGGCGATGACTCCTTCACCACCTTTTTCAGTGAGACAGGAGCAGGAAAACATGTCCCAAGAGCCATATTTGTTGACCTGGAGCCCACTGTCATTGGTCAGTGATTGACTGGATATTTTCTTGAAGAGAACATTGGGAACTCATTGTGGAATAACATACAGTATTTGTCTTTTTTTATTTTTTGTCCAGATGAGGTGCGTACGGGTACCTACCGTCAGCTGTTCCATCCAGAACAATTAATCACAGGGAAGGAAGATGCTGCCAACAATTATGCCCGTGGTCACTACACTATTGGCAAGGAGATCATTGATCTGGTTCTGGACAGGACTCGCAAACTGGTGAGACCCTTTAAAACTATTTAATGCAAGAAAAAGTTCTAAAATCAAATAATTCTTCATGAGCGGGCAATACTTAAGATGAGTACATCAACCTCACTGTCAGAAGGTCAGTGTAAGAATTTTTGCTTGGGCCTTTCTCTGTGGAGCGAGCATGTTGTTCCTATGCCTGCTTCTATTTTCGATGGTTCAAAAAAATACATGTGCTAGGTCAATTGATGAAAATTACTCTTTTGTGTGACTGGTTGTCTATTCAAGCCCTTCATTGAGTGCTGTATCCTGCCTTTTATCCACAAGTCAGATGGGATAGGCGTCATATGGATGGATGGAAGGATTGTTCATCTTCCTGTGTAATGTTACATTTTCAGGCTGATCAATGCACAGGATTGCAAGGGTTCCTCATCTTCCACTCCTTCGGTGGAGGCACCGGCTCTGGTTTCACCTCCCTCCTCATGGAGAGACTGTCAGTTGATTATGGAAAAAAGTCCAAGCTTGAATTTGCAATCTACCCAGCCCCTCAGGTTTCCACAGCAGTGGTGGAGCCTTACAATTCCATTCTGACCACTCACACCACCCTTGAGCACTCTGACTGTGCCTTCATGGTGGACAATGAAGCCATCTATGACATTTGTCGTCGGAACCTCGATATTGAAAGGCCAACCTACACTAACCTCAACAGGCTGATTGGCCAGATCGTGTCTTCAATCACAGCCTCACTTCGCTTTGACGGCGCCCTGAATGTTGACCTAACAGAGTTCCAGACCAACTTGGTGCCCTACCCTCGTATCCATTTCCCTTTGGCTACCTATGCCCCAGTCATCTCTGTGGAGAAGGCCTACCATGAGCAGCTTTCTGTTGCCGACATCACAAATACTTGCTTTGAGCCAGCCAACCAGATGGTCAAGTGCGATCCTCGTCATGGCAAATACATGGCCTGTTGTCTGCTTTATCGTGGCGATGTGGTGCCTAAAGATGTCAACTCCGCCATCGCTGCCATCAAGACCAAACGCAGCATCCAGTTTGTGGACTGGTGTCCTACTGGTTTCAAAGTGGGTATCAACTACCAACCTCCAACAGTGGTTCCTGGAGGGGATCTAGCCAAGGTGCAGAGGGCTGTGTGCATGTTGAGCAACACCACAGCCATCGCTGAGGCCTGGGCTCGCCTCAACCACAAGTTTGATCTCATGTATGCCAAAAGGGCCTTTGTCCACTGGTATGTTGGGGAGGGAATGGAGGAAGGAGAGTTCTCAGAGGCCCGAGAGGATATGGCTGCCCTGGAAAAGGATTATGAAGAAGTGGGTGCGGACAACATTGGGGATGAAGATGAAGGAGAAGAATATTGATGTAAAGACACAAGAAGAAACACAATTTAAGTGGTTGATTTTTATTTAATCAGTTAGGCCCAAAAGTCATGCTTATCCTATGACTGTGTATTAATATAATAAATATTTCTTGGTTGGAAGTTCCACAGAGATCATTACTTTGTGCAGTGACTCTCTTTTGTGCACCACCCCCACACTTATTCCCATGTGGAATGTAAGTTATGAAAGGGCTCCAATGTCAGTTCCTCTATACCATTCAGCTGTGACTCTCTGTGTTAGAGTGGGAGAATAACCACTGACTCACTGTCTGTTGTTTTTTGTGTAGTTCATACTCAGACACGACCAAACTGTAGCAACAATTGACTTCCACAAATCTCATCCTGTACTACACACACTGTGAACAGGCTGTAATAAAGGAATGGTTGAACAACTTTCAGGGAGTGAAAAACTAGTTTTCTTTCTTTTTTTGTCTCATTCTGATTTAATTCAAACGTGTAACACTGCACCGCTATGTCTATTAGCTGTATGTTCACCATCTACAAATGAATCAAAGTGCATTTTTCTACAGGCAGAATCAATTGAAGGGGTGATTTAGAAGCAAGTCTTCCATGGTTCAAGCTAACATATCTTCAACATAACACAAAATACTATCTTGATACATGACTGATGTTCTTGCATTATCATATTGTATTACTGTACATCTGAACTCATTTATGAAAATCACTGATTAGAATTTATGGTAGCCATACGGTGTGTAGAGTATATATGGTATATATACACCCACACCCACACCCCCACACACACACACACACTACTCACAAAAAGAAAGGGATATTTGGCTTTCAGGTACAAGATTCACGCTACAGTCTTAGCATATCATGAAAGTAGGACATTTAAGTGGGAGGATGCACTGGGGATTTCCTCATCTCAAATGATTATTGAAACAAAAGTTAACAACAAGGGTGGGTACACAATGTAGCGGCCATCGGGATGTGGCCAAAGAACGTCCACTTCTACATCTTTCTGTGACTCTTCCAGTCTCTCTTCCATTCTAAGCTCGGTGGCCATTTCCGTCTGAGAACGTCCTGTTTCAAGCATCACAATGGCAAGGTACTGTTGATCAATTCTTAGGTGTTGTCTTGGTCTAGTGATGTAAAAATGTGAACAGCGTGATGGGGACTACTGCATAAACACCAGCTCTTATGTAACCAGGTCGAGTGAAAATCAAACGCCTGTTGTGAATTTTGACATTAAGCTCCTCGTTCAAGAACAGCGACTTGAACAAAAAGTACTGAAACATTTAACACTTGGACATCTGCATTTAAAAGCTGAAAGAAGGTCACATTAAGGTTTGACTGCATTTTACGCTCATCCTGACATTTCACCTGAAAGCCAAATATTCCTAACTTTTTGTGAGTTGTGTATTCTGTAAACATAAATTTTGCAGGAAAGCCGTAGTCATCCACCCGTACCCAAAGTGAATGCAAAACACTTCCGTCGTACATTATTTTTTAGATTTTTTTTAACTTGTCAAGGTAATGAATCATACATAGTAAATTTATGTAGGACAAAGACTGCCTGAAAGTGTAAACTATGGCAAGTCAGCGTGAACGTGGATAACGCCGAATTTATGTGACATCCGCTGTTTTTTTTTCCGCTACACATTTCCCCCCTCTTCGACCAATGAGCACTGGAGCTGCTGTCCGAAGTTTCCTGCGGACAGCCCGCCTCCACTTCCTCTGCTTATATAAACCATGAGTCCCCCGCCGTCGCGTCACATTGCCTTGTCTCTGAATCCTCTACGTTGCTCAAAGGACAAGCAGACAAAATGGTGAGTAATCGCGTGGCCTCGTGACGTCGCCTTCGAGTCTTAATTGTTTCAGTTTGCTCCTTTGTTCTCACCGTAGTGATTAGTAACCGGAGTTGATAAAATCTGCGTCACGCTAGTGAGGTTTCAGCCCGTAAGGTTAGCGGGACAAAAAAAAAAAAAAAACGTAGCGTTCCTGCATGAGATGCCCGCGGTTGTTCACTAACGACGTGTAGCCTGTGGGAAATTAAAAAAAAAAGTGTACAAACGTTAAAAAAGGGACAACTCAAGCTCATGAAATAAATCTACCTATTAAAAACTTTAATTGGGTTATAAAATAGGCCAAACCAACTAAGTTTATGCCGCAATTTGTTTACGATTATATATTAATGTTGAAAATAATTTGAAACTTTGTGAAAGTTATTGATGTAAAAAGTAGCGTGGGCCTGGTATGCTCGATAGAAGGGGGAAAAAAAAGGAGTGGTCCGTAGTCATAAGACCCCCCCCCCCCTCCAGTTTCAGCCGCCATTTTTTTCGGCCTTTGGGCGGTTTTTTTAGTGGAGGGAGGGGAGGGGCCGTCCCCGGCATTACACAGCACTATGCAGCTGGAAAGAATGGGGGAAGGGAGAGGCCTCAAATTTGGGGTGGGAGGCATTGACGTGTGCATACTTCCCACACGGATGAGTGGACTTTAGTTTTCCAGAACTTTTTTTGTTTCCCCCCAAACCCCCATTGTTTTAGAACTTGGTACAATTCACAATGTTTTCATTAAAACAAAAAACCCTTTTGTTCATGTGGTGCACATTGCAGAACATGCATACTTGGAAATGTGTTTATAGTAACATTTTGTACCTTTTGTCTTCCATCTAGCGTGAATGTATCTCTATGCATGTCGGCCAAGCCGGTGCCCAAATGGGCAATGCCTGTTGGGAGCTTTACTGCCTGGAACATGGCATTCAGCCAGATGGACAGATGCCCTCTGACAAGACTATTGGAGGAGGCGATGACTCGTTCAATACCTTCTTCAGTGAGACTGGAGCTGGGAAACATGTGCCTAGGGCAATCTTTGTTGATCTGGAACCCACTGTCATTGGTGAGTAACTGGCGGCAACTCTTGCCAAATTTACGTTTGGAGCTTTAATGCTGTAACTTAAATCTTGGAATTTGTTTTCTACAGATGAGGTTCGTACAGGTACCTATCGTCAGCTGTTCCACCCAGAACAGTTAATCACAGGGAAGGAGGACGCTGCAAACAACTATGCCCGTGGGCACTACACCATTGGCAAGGAGATCATTGATCTTGTTCTGGACAGGACTCGCAAACTGGTAAATTCTTTGGGCAGCTTGAGTATTTCTTTCAAAAATGTGTAGAAAAATGTGATATTGTGCTATGATGCAATGGAAAAAAATGATACTCATTCCTCTTTTAGGCTGATCAGTGCACTGGCTTGCAAGGATTCCTCATCTTTCATTCCTTTGGTGGTGGCACCGGTTCTGGTTTCACCTCTCTGCTCATGGAGAGACTGTCTGTAGATTATGGGAAGAAGTCCAAACTAGAGTTTGCTGTCTACCCTGCCCCTCAAGTGTCCACAGCTGTGGTAGAGCCCTACAATTCCATTCTGACCACTCACACCACCCTTGAGCACTCCGACTGCGCCTTCATGGTGGACAATGAAGCAATCTATGACATCTGCCGCAGGAACCTTGACATAGAAAGGCCAACCTACACTAACCTCAACAGGCTGATCGGCCAGATCGTGTCCTCTATCACAGCCTCACTTCGCTTTGATGGCGCCCTGAATGTTGACCTGACAGAGTTCCAGACCAACTTGGTGCCTTACCCACGTATCCACTTCCCTCTGGCCACATATGCCCCGGTCATCTCTGCAGAGAAGGCCTATCATGAACAACTGTCTGTGGCTGACATTACCAATGCTTGCTTTGAGCCAGCCAACCAGATGGTTAAGTGTGATCCTCGTCATGGTAAATACATGGCCTGCTGTCTGCTGTATCGTGGCGATGTGGTGCCTAAAGATGTCAACTCTGCTATCGCTGCCATCAAGACCAAACGCACCATCCAGTTTGTGGACTGGTGTCCTACTGGTTTCAAAGTGGGCATCAACTACCAGCCTCCAACAGTGGTTCCTGGGGGAGATCTGGCCAAGGTGCAGAGGGCTGTGTGCATGCTGAGCAACACCACAGCCATTGCTGAGGCCTGGGCCCGCCTGGACCACAAGTTTGATCTCATGTATGCGAAGAGGGCCTTTGTTCACTGGTATGTAGGAGAAGGAATGGAGGAAGGAGAGTTCTCAGAGGCCAGAGAAGATATGGCTGCCCTGGAGAAGGATTATGAAGAAGTTGGTACTGACAGCATTGGGGACGAGGATGAAGAGGGAGAAGAGTACTAAGGTTTCATCATGCTCAGTCTTTGACATTACACGTTCCAAAAAGCCAATCATGACATCCTGCAGATGCTCTGCTTCTTGGCCATCATTGGTCAGTTAATAAAGAATTCCAAACTGCTTGAATGCAATTGTGATTATTTTAAGCTTTGGACAACTTGCTCCTCGAATTTTTTTAATTTAATCTAGGTCACCCCCCTCCCACGTCCAGGTTGAGGTAAATTACGTGCATTACGAATGCATTCATTGTATACTTCATGCCACTAAACTCCTAGTGACCACATCTTGGCTGTTCAGTACTTCGTAGGGTCTTAATGCTTTTAAAATTCAGTAAACATTGCACAAACTAGTGTGGGGATTTCCAAAGTAGTAAAAGGGTGACACCTGTTGCAGGCAAATGGGACTGACATTGCTCAGTTGCAGGGCGCAGAATTCCTGACTGATTTGGCAAGTAGTCCCACTCCCGAATTTGGCCTTAAAAATGACTATTAATACAGTGTTGGACTATCATAACCACGCTCATAAAATGTATAATTTCAACAAATTCTACAGCCACAATAGATTTTGACATGAAAGTGCATGAAGTAAAAACTAAGGTAGTGACATCACTTTAATGCGCCTCCAAACCCCCCCCCCCCACACACACACACACACACATCTTTTGGATAGTGAGCATTGCGGATGCTGCCTGAAATGCGGACGGTCCTGCTCAGCTTCTTTCCATCCCCGGTACTCCTGGCTTGTCTGAAGTCTGCAGAGTACGGCATTTCATCGTGAAGGACAAGCAGACAAAATGGTGAGTGTCTGCATGCTCTGATTACGTCATCTGGAAGCGTCTTGTTTGGGTTTCCTCCACGCTTTAGAGACTAGCAACCAATAACTGGATGGTGTCAGGCTCATAAACCCTATGCTCGTGCTTTGTCCATTAGGTGGCAGTCTTTGTTCGCCAACGGAAACTCGTTTAATTTATTGAAAATGTGTGCGAACCTTCCAAGAATGCGTCGCTAGCTGGTGCGTCACTAGATTTTTTTTTTTTTTTACCGATAGTGTGTGCGAGCCCCCAGGCGGTGCATCATTCACAGGATGTGGCAAATATTGCTCTCAAACAAACACGTAGCTAACAGACATCTGTTTTTGTTTTTTGGACGCTTTAAACCAGGGGTCACCAATGTGGTGCCCAGAGGCACCAGGTAACCCCCAACCACTACAGGAGTCACAAAAATTATTAATAATCAATTACTCGGGTAATGGACAGACTCACCCCCGCCCATCCCGTTTTGAGGTGGAATCCGCCCCCCGTCAACCCCAATAACATTATTAAATGAAAGTCAAGCAATTTTGTCATTTAAGAACTGTATCAAACCGGTATCAGTCGCCAATAAGTAGCTCACAATTTCATAGTTTGGTGACCTCTGCTTAAAACGAAGATGCAACCCAGTATAAACATCCATTCATCCTTTGTCTGATCTGCTCATCCTCACGAGGGTTGCGGGTGTGCTGGAGCCTATCCTAATTGTCTTCGGGCAGCAGGCGCGGGACACCCTGAACTAGTTGCCAGCCAATCGCAGGCACACATAGACGAACAACCATTCACACTCGCAATCACACCGAGGGACAATTTAGAGTGTTCAGTTAACTTAATGTGCATGTTTTTGGAATGTGGGAGGAAACCGGAACATGCAAAGTCCCTCGCAGCACCTCACCTCTCTGAGTTCCTCTGCCTCGACGTATCTGCCCGCCTCAGGTCTGCAGACCAGACACTATGAGCGGGACCGAGAACTAAGTGCAGGCTCAGAGGGGATCTGTGTGTGTGTGTGCATATACTCTGCGTGTGTGTGTGTGTGTGTGTGTGTATATATATATATATATATATATATATATATATATATATATATATATATACACGTATGTGAATAACACTTGAGTCTTATGTGACATTACTGTTATATTTATACCTTCTCTTCCATCCAGCGTGAATGTATCTCAATGCACATCGGCCAAGCTGGAGTTCATATGGGCAGTGCATGCTGGGAGCTTTACTGCCTGGAACATGGTATTCAGCCAGATGGACGGATACCGTCTGACAAAAGTATTGGTGGAGGCGATGACTCGTTCAATACTTTCTTCAGTGAGATTGGAACTGGGAAGCAGTTTCCCAGGGCCATCTTTGTTGATCTGGAGCCCACGGTCATCGGTCAGTAACCGCTGACTCCCCAGGCCATGTGCCCTATTGCTAATTTTACATGAAGTGAGCGCTACTTGGAACTTCAATATAAATACATACAGTATATTTATTTGAATATCTCTTAAATGTTCAATTTTGTTTTCCAAAGATGAGGTTCGTACAGGTACCTATCGGGAGCTGTTCCACCCAGAACAGATGATCACAGGGAAAGAGGATGCTGCCAACAACTACGCTCGAGGTCATTACACCATTGGCAAGGCGATCATTGAGCTCGTTCTGGACAGGATTCGCAAGCTGGTGAGAGTGTTTTATACATGCAGTTTGTCATCAAGGTCACTGGTTGAAATGTTATCCTGCTTTTGACTATTGGTATATACACAGTTAGAGCTGATTGAAAATAAGACTTGATCCTTTTCCAGGCTGATCAGTGCACTGGCTTGCAAAGTTTCCTTATCTTTCACTCATTTGGTGGTGGCACCGGCTCTGGTTTCACCTCCCTGCTCATGGAGAGACTGTCAATTGATTTTGGGAAGAAATTCAAACTTGAGTTTGCTGTCTACCCTGCCCCTCAGGTGTCCACATCAGTGGTAGAGCCCTATAATTCCATTCTGACCACTCACAGCACCCTTGAGCACTTTGACTGCGCCTTCATGGTGGACAATGAAGCAATCTATGACATCTGTCGCAGGAACCTCGACATTGAAAGGCCAACCTACACTAACCTCAACAGGCTGATTGGCCAGATTGTGTCATCGATTACAGCCTCCCTTCGGTTTGACGGCACCCAGAAAGTTGACCTGACAGAGTTCCAGACCAACTTGGTGCCCTTCCCTCGAATCCACTTCCCTCTAGCCACATATTCCCCATTCATCTCTGCTGAGAAGGCCTACCATGAGCATCTGTCTGTGGCCGACATCACCAATGCCTGCTTTGAGCCAGCCAACCAGATGGTCAAGTGTGATCCTCGTCATGGTAAATATATGGCCTGTTGTTTGTTGTTATTTTTTGGTGATGTAGCGCCGAAAGATGTCAACTCCGCCATTGCTGCTATCAAGACCAAACGCAGCATCCAGTTTGTGGACTGGTGTCCCACTGGCTTCAAAGTGGGCATCAATTACCAACCTCCAACAGTGGTTCCTGGAGGAGATCTGGCCAAGGTGCCAAGGGCTGTCTGCATGCTGAGCAACACAACAGCTTTCGTTGAGGCCTGGGCTCGCCTGGATCACAAGTTTGATCTCATGTATGCCAAGAGGGCCTTTGTGCACTGGTATGTGGGAGAGGGAATGGAGGAAGGAGAGTTCTCAGAGGCCAGAGAGGATATGGCAGTCCTTGAGAAGGATTATGAAGAGTTAGGTGCTGACAGCACTGGGGATGAGGATCAAGATGGCGAGGAGTACTGAGGAGTATGATAGCCCGGGCTTAAAGAAGTTATCAGTAATAATATGACAGGTGCTGCCTGTGGTGGTGATTGCTCGGTATTAATAAACACATCCAAACTCCTTTGATGTATTTGTGATTTTGTGTGGCAGTAGAAAAAGATAAAGCAAATCAGATCTTTTCAGGTTGTATCTTTTCAGGTTTTATCCAGGATAAAGTCACAACATTGGTTTCCTTCATCGTTTTCTTGACTTAACAAGACTGACTTTAAACACACATTCTTTACACCGCTCGTTAAAATTTACTCTGTTGCCAATCGAGTATCCAGTATAGTCATCTCTTGATTTTTGGAATTTTTTTAGTTCATCTCCGTAACTTTAAGACATGACATGTCCAAACCATGTTCCAAAACAGTTTTCTTCAATGGGAAAATGGTGCTACCTGCTGGAGCTATATGGAACTGACAACAGCTTGGTGATAAGGGCACAATCTTAATGTTTTAACATTTTTTTGGATTTCATCAACCTATTTTTGAGTCATTATTATAAGGCTCCACTTTTTAGGGGGTGCCTGCTCGTGAGGAGCGAGAGCGATTCCACTATCTACAATTTAAGAATACGAGTTTAGTTTTGTTCGATTTGTAGTATTATTATTATTAGTATTCTGCTTCTTATTATTAAGAGATATTTTACCTCCAGTCAGTCTTCTATGTGGCGAGTGGGCAGTTTTATCACACATCAACAGGCAGCCGTTAGGAAGACTTATGTTGCGTTGAATACAAGTCAAAAGTGGGACGGATTATTAGTACAGTATTTTATTTGTTCCAACAAACAATTATGATTTGGTAATTTTACAATTTCATTTTATTTATTTATTTATTTTTTTTTAATACACAGAAATACACTGTCTCCCTTGGCGTTATTTTTCCTTTGATGGGCTAAGTAAGATTTACGAGTTACATTGGACGCAGGATTAAGGGGCGTGTCGAATGACGTCTGTAAACTCGGGCATGTTCTCGACTCTCTATTTCTTTCAGCTGATTGTGACGTAATATTCACAACAACTAGGCTAACTGGGCCGGAGCCCTGCAAGTTTTGACACCCGCGGAGTGGATCGCAGAGGCGACTGCTCTGCGCTGTGGCGAAGGGACGCTGGAGAGACAAACCGGGAAGAAGAGACGGTTCTAGAAACACGGCTACCTCTGTCAACGACCACCTCATCTTCTGTCAGACTGACAAGGTAGGTCAGGTTACACGATCAGACTATTTTTTCTTTCACCCTTGTCCAACACACACTGGACATTAAAATGAGGACTTTCCGCTTAAGTCGACAATATGTACAGGTTTGTTCAACACCACTGCCTGCGAGTGGGATGCCAATGCTCTCGAAATACACTTATTGCTGCTCCCAGGGGCCTCACGGTTGCACGCGGGGTTTTTGCATCACTTTGGAAACCCCCCTCGACCCCCAGTCAGTGCTGACACTTGTGGCAGTCCACCAATAAGTAAGATGGCATGAGAGCCCGCTGGGCTAAAATAGTCAGACCGGCTAAAATTGTCAAACGATAGCTCAACCACCAATTATTTGAGGTATTACATAGTTGTTTTTATTCAGATGCCAGTTATATGTACAGTCGTTACGTTGACTAAAAAGCAGGATAGTGGTTCCTACATTGCTTGCATGAAAATACAATGTATGTACTGTACAAGTGAATAACCGCATACTGTACTGTATTCACATTCTGCAAATTTACCGAATAGCAGATTTTTTTCTATTTGTGGCATGGCTCCTACCCTAAAACTATATTATAATTTCGGAATGGTGGCATTCCTTAATGTCAAAATACCATCGTAAGAGACATGATTAGATTAGAAACCCAATTCCAATGAAGTTGGGATGTTGTGTTCAACACGAATAAAAACAGAATACAATGAATTTGCAAATCTTGTTAACTGCAGACACTACAAAGACAAAAGATTTAATGTTCAAACTGTTAGCTATTGTTTTTAACAAATAATCGTTAACTGAGATTGTAATACTGTAGTTGCAACATGTTCCAAAAATGCTGGGACAGTTGGCAAAAAAGACTGAGAGAGTTGCGGAATGCTCATCAAACACCTTTTTGGAACATCCTGCAAATGTACAGGGTAGCTAGGAACAGTTGGGTGCCATAATTGGGAATCAAAGGAGCTTCCCTGAATTGCCCAGTCATTCACAACCAAAGATGGGGCGACGTTCAATTTGTGAACAGCTGCATGAGGAAAAAAGTCGAACAGTTTAAGGACAAGGGCTCAGGAACCGTTCAGAAAACTTATGGATGCAAAGTTCAAATATCAGCATCTGTGATGGTGTGGGGCTGTGTTAGTGCCAATGGTATGGGTAACTTACTCATCTGTGAAGGCGCCATTAATGCTGAAAGGTACATACAGGTTTTGGAGAAACGGCCTTGCTTATTTCATCAAGACAATGCCAAACCATGTTCTGCACATGGTACAACAGCGTGGCTTTGTAGTAAAAGTTTGCGGGTACTAAACTGGCCTGCCTGCAGTCCAGACCTGTCCCCCATTGAAAATGTGTGACGCAGTATCAAGCGTAAAATACGTCAATGGAGAACTGTTGAATAGCTTAATCTGTTCATCAAGCAAGAATGGGAACGAATTCCATGTACAAAGCTCGCACTTAAGGGTTCTCAGTTCCCAAACGTTTGTTTAATGTTGTTAAAAGAAAACATGATGTAACACAATGGTAAACATGACGCATTGCAGCCATAAAATTCATCAGATTCAATATAATAGGTTATCAAAAATCTGCCCTCAGAAAGATAATGTTCACTTTTGATTGGCAGTCACAGGGAAGGGCAAAAAGGTAGTGCAGTGGACACCCACTATTCCCGGGATACAGGGATCGGGCCAGACCGCAAATAGAAAAACTACATATGTTACTGACACTGAGTGAAATGCATTGGGGGAGGGACCGAGGTGGGATGGGGAATAAAACAAATCTTCCAAAAACATTGAAAAGCAATTCAATTAGCTTTTTCCATGAAAAACGGGTAGAAATGGGAAAATAAAGCACCCCTCCAAAAAACAAGATCTTAAAAAGCATTGGGGAAAAAAAAACAAATCTGAAAATAATAGGAATTTGCGGCCACCAAACCATGCACGAGCATGCGGTGATCCACTGTATACACTCATTTTATTACATTTCCAGACCTCCCACTTTCCTTCCTTCCTTCCTTCCTTCCCTCTGAGTTTTTAGTTTTGTGTTCTTCCAGACTCACTTCACTGGAACCTGCTTTTCTGCCTTCCTTCATTCAATCCCTACCTGCTTCGTTCTACCTCACCTATTTGTACTCATGCGTACTGTCTTTCCTTTTTCTGTGTCCCTTTTTGTTCCCAGCGAAGTGGTGTAGAGGGGTGACAGGAGGCGTCATGGTGGATTACTACAACATCCTGGGAGTATCCAAAACTGCAACTCAGGATGACATCAAGAAGGCGTGAGTATTGCTATCCTCCCAAATGTGACAGCAATGTCAGTACTCCAGCCTGTGAGAAATTGGCTCGTTATTTTGTTTGTAGTATGCCGTGATATCCCTAATGTGTGTTTTTATGTTATATTTATCCTATTTATCCACATTGAAGTATTAAAAAAAAAAAAGCCTCTCGCTATGCTGTTGGTCAATTGATTTGCTGTCACTGTGCCCACATTTGTGTTTTTGTTTCAACTCAGTTACAGGAAACTGGCGCTTAAATGGCATCCTGACAAAAATCCAGACAACAAAGAGGAAGCAGAAAAGAGGTTTAAAGAAGTTGCTGAGGCGTACGAAGTTCTCTCTGACCGTAAGTATCGGTACAGGTTGACTTGTCATGTTACTCATCTGTGACGGGCAATCGTTTTCTGACATTTGATTTCATTGTCATATTACTCCAGTCTTAAAGATTTGACACTGGCTCCCAATCAGATGATCGAATAGATTTGAAAATTCTACTGCTGGTCTGTCAATCACTGATTGAGTTGTGTCCTGAATACAATTAAGAGATGCTGATTGATTATAAACCCATTAGAGCTCCGAGATCTGTCGACTTGGCTCAATTAGTGGAGTCCATCGTTCGATTTAAATATTGCGGAGCTGCATTTTGCTGTTAGGGTGCACACAAATGAAAAAAAAAAGTTGCCAATAGAAGTTAAGTCAGCCTTGAGTGTGAATGCTTTTAAATCCAGGTTAACTTTACTTTAAGGTCTTCTGAACACTTTTTGTAATCATATTTTTTTTCTTTGAGTTACTCAGTTTTCTGTGAAGGTGTTTCAATGATGTCAAGCGTATGTTCTTTTGGTCATAATATTTGTAAGCTACTTTAGTTTTCTCTGCTTTGCTTCTGAACGTCATTAACTGTTGTGTTTGAAAATGCTTAGTTAGGTGTTGGGTCTTTGCCTGTGTGAAACACATCGTGTGCGATATGATTAGAGTTGCCTTGCCATACCTTGTACATGTGAGTGAAATATTCACTGATAATTTATGTTGTTTTGTACAGAGAGTAAACGGGATGCCTATGACAGATATGGGAGTGATGGAATGAGATACTCAGGTATAGAAAAGAGCCATTTTTTGCCTCCCTCACATCTGCTTTCCCTTTTGAGTCATTTTTTTCGAATTTTCTGCGACCCCCCCCATGTTTTCTGTTAACGTTTTAAGTACTTTTCCCCCCCAGGCTCTTCCAATTCAGACTTCTCTTCAGATTTCCCAGGATTCGCCTTCACATTCCGCAGCCCAGATGAGGTTTTCAAGGAGTTTTTTGGTGGCCAGGATCCTTTCGCCAGCTTCTTTGGTAAATCATGCACAACAGGATTGAATGATTGCTTCCAGGATGTTCAAAAATGGGTTTCATTACAATGAGTACATTTAATTTTGTACATAAAATATGAATGAAGAAACAACATGTAATGAATTAAAACAATGAGTCAAGGAATCCAAAAAAAGGCGTATACCAACGCCTCACCTCTCTGTAAGTGTATGATTTACATCAGTACAGTCTAAACAAAGAAGGATAAAATAATATACATAAAAATAAGCTCTTAAA